ACTTGGTCATCTTAAAGGTCTTTTCCAACCTCATGATTCTATTGGCCCACAGCAGCGTGTGGTCAAGCTGCAATCACTGTGATCTGCCTCCCAGACATTTGTAACACAACTGATTCACATAGGCCTTGGCATCATCTCTTACCAACTCATCCTTAGGATTCATTGGAGCCAAAAGGCTGCAAGTACTAACACACACTGCGCCACAGCGTTGGGGGTGTTGTAACCTGTGTCGCTGCTGCTGTGTCTTTGTGAGCTGGTTGATTTACAGAAATACTGAGGATTCATACAGGGGGACATGTAACCAAGAAAGAAGTGAGCTGTGCCTGATGATGGGACAGGAAACACACCTGCTCTGGTGACTTTTCAGGATGTTCTCTCAAAATGATGCTAATTTTCCTTTTCCATATGTGGTTTCTTTTTTTTTTGTCTTGTATTTCTGGCAGCCAAGCCAGAAGGTCCTCCAGCTCCAGCACAAGAAAAGCCTTCGCTATCAGAAGAGGAAATAGAGAGAAAATGCAAATCTATCATTGATGAGTTCTTGCATATTAATGATTTCAAGGTAAGCAAAATTAAAACCTCACTTAGCAGAAAGGTCTGTGGGACCAGAGTATGTTTTTCCCCCTCTACTCCACTCTGAGGAGACCCCCCTGCAGCCTAATCCAGCTCTGGGGAACAGCACAAGAGGGACGTGGAGCTGCTGGAGCGAGGCCAGAGGAGGCCCCGGAGCTGCTGCGAGGGCTGGAGCAGCTCTGCTCTGGAGCCAGGCTGAGAGAGCTGGGCTGGGGCAGCTGGAGAAGAGAAGGCTCCTCAAGGGGACACCTTAGAGCAGCTCCAGAGTCTAAAGGGGCTCCAGGAAACCTGGAGAGGGGCTTTAGACAAGGGATGGAGGGACAGGACAAGGGGAATGGCTTTAACCTGCCAGAGGGGAGATTGAGATGAGCTCTTGGGCAGAAGCTCTTCCCTGTGAGGGTGCTGAGGCGCTGGCACAGGGTGCCCAGAGAAGCTGTGGCTGCCCCATCCCTGGCAGTGTTCAAGGCCAGGTTGGACACAGGGGCTTGGGGCAACCTGCTCTAGTGGAAGGGGGGCCTTCCCATTGGGGCTGGGACTGGATGGGCTTTAAGGTCCCTTCCAACCCAAACCAGGCTGGGATTCTGTGATTCTCTCCTGGAACCGTGCCGTTCTAAGCACCCAGCTCACACAGGTCTCACAGAAACAATGGGGTCAGTCAAAATCCAAGCAGCACCTCCATGAGTGTTTTTAGGAAGGTTGTCCCCCAAAATTGTTTTCTGCCCTGCCTGCTAATAGGAAAAATAGCCCTGTATGTGTATGCTAAGTGGCAAGATGAATGTGTATCTGTCACGAATCACTGAGCAGCTCCATAATAACAGCAATTTTGGAAGCAGGAAGGCTAGTGGGAAAGTAAACTGAGGTTTTCATTCAGTTATCAAAGCATGTGCTGCTCTGGTCCGGAGGCAGATAAAGCAATACTAAATATCGAACAAACCACTCCAGAGTATTTTTAATAAACATTGAAAATTACCGAGCAGCTGTCAGCATCTCTGAGATACAGGTTGAAATGTTGTTTTCCCTGTAAATGGATTTTAGCTTGTCCAGGGACTTTGCGAGAAGTTACGTTGGCTGCAGAGTTGATTGGTTTGATCCTGGGCTGAAATGAGTTTAGAAACCTGCCAAGTTTGAAAGAGCAGCACTGGGGAGTTCTGCTTTGGCACCATTACAGCAGAGTTGCTGCTTCCACTTCATAGGGCTTCCAGTTAAAGTAGGAAACAGGAATATTCTTATGGGTTGGGTCAGGTTCACATCCAGTTTTCAGGAGAAATGTTTAAATCCTAGTTTGGAGAGGAAAAAACCAGACTTTGATTCGCTGTGTCCCGCAGCGTGCTGGGCTGGCAGCTCAGTCAGGAGGAGTCGCGGCTGTTGGCAGAGGAGCTCCTGGTCCTTTTGGTTTTGTGGTGGACTTCACGGCCTGATCCCTGGATGTGTGTGAAGGGAGGTACAGGGATGCTGGAGAGGGACTCTTCATCAAGGACTGTAGGGACAGGAGAAGGGGTGATGGATTCAAACTGAAATAGGGGAAGTTCAGGTTGGAGATAAGGCAGAAGCTCTTCCCTGTGAGGGTGCTGAGGTGCTGGCACAGGGTGCCCAGAGAAGCTGTGGCTGCCCCATCCCTGGCAGTGTTCAAGGCCAGGTTGGACACAGGGGCTTGGAGCAACCTGCTCTAGTGGAAGGTGTCCCTGCCCATGGCAGGGGTTGGAGCTGGAGGAGCTTTAAGGTCCCTTCAACACAAACCAGGCTGAGATTCTATGTCCACGGCAAAGGGGCTGCTTTGGTTTCTCTGCTTGCAAATACAATGACATATTTTTATGGCTGGCTGGGAATTGAGGTGAATTGTCTCAGACAAGTGATGTCTGGTTGGAAAAGGTCCATCAGATTGAGATGGCTTGTTTGCATTAGGGCGTTACATGGTAACTTTAAATTCTAACGTGCTTCAAAGGCAGCCTGCGACAAAGGTTCTGACTAATTCAGCTGAAGCTCACATTAATAAGGCCATAAATGGGTGTTTTGGTGTTGTACCAAAACAGAGGAATAGCTGTTTCTTATGAGTTTAGCATTCTGTATTTAACCTGTCTGTAAGTTAAAACCACTGAGCTGTCTGCCGGTGCCTGGTGATAGCAGGGTCACCCAGCAGCACATTCACTTCTGTCCTGGAGACACCAGATCCATCAGGCACATCTGATGGAAGAGATAGGAGCGCGTGGTCCAGGACCACTGGGCTTGTGACATGCAGAAAAAGCCCCTCAGGGCCTGCAGAAATGTAGCTGGGGCTGCCAGTTCTTGATAACTAAAGACATAACCTAAGACAAAGACCAAATGTCTTTGGGAAGTGTGTTGAGATCCGCTGGGTGGAACCTGGAAGGTCAGGGGAGGATCTTTGCTGATGGCAGTGGAGATTTCTCAGTGTGACATTGATGCTCCTCTGAAAGTCCCCATTGAAGTGTTTTATTTGCTTGGGTCACAAAATGTACGCGCCAGAAAGTAGAAGCTTTAGACAGGGTAAACCTTCCTCCAGGTGCTCTCCACCTATTCTCTGCTTCTTTACTCAAAGTGGGTTTGTACATAGGCATTTCTGTATCAAACAGATCAGTACAGAACCTCACCTGATGGTCTCTTTTTGCCTTGGTGTGATAGTTGGTAAAATACCAGGCATTTTGGTGGCATCCAGAAGACAATTCTTGTCCTTGCACTGAGCAGCCAAACTGTACCCTGGAGTGTGATTGTGTATTGTAAAAATTATTGCCCGTGTGGTATAAATTCTCAGTAGTATTATTACCATCATTATCATTGCTAGTACCATTAGTAGTGTCATTATTAGTGTCATTATTATTTAGTTGCCAGCTCAGTGGTGGTTTGTGATGAGGTTCCACAGCCTAGTTCCGCACCTTTGCCTGGCAACTTCACTTAATACTCATTTCCCAAAAGGAAACTCCTATGTTGTAGTAGAAGATACTCCTCTGCCCCGTTTTTGGATGTTTTCAGTTCAGAAATGACCCCGCGTGTCATTGGAACAGGAGGCGATGCAGTGCGTGGAGGAGCTGAGCACCCACAACCTGCTGCCGGTGTTCGTGCGAGTGGGAGTGGAGTCGACGCTCGAGAGGAGTCAGATCACCAGGGATCACATGGGCCAGTTATTACACCAGTTGGTGCAGTTGGGAAAGCTGAGCAAGCAGGATTTCTTCAAGGGGTTTGTATTCTGCATGTGGAAACGGGTGCTTTTCTTAGAGAGGAGCAAATTCCCACCTTGCGTTGGTGCCCTGCCTCCATTTTGAAGGAGTATTTTCACCTGGGTGTATTTATAAGTAATATAATTATTGTGATTTATTTTCAAGTATTGCCAATGCTGCAGCGAATGTAAATGTTTTCCTGTTCATGTAAGTGTTTATTTCTAAGTGGAAGTCTGTTTGAATGTGTGTGGTTAGATTTCTGTTCCGTGGTGCATTGTCAACATTTGCCTTCTGGCAAATCACTTGAGTATGATTAAAAGAAGAGGAAGAAGTCAAAAATCTTCATGTGATATTAATGCCTGAAGCCCTGAGCATCCACAGCTCCACAGCCACCCTCCCACTGGTAAAACTGGCTCCACACACACGTTGCTCAGGACAACTCAACTTTAAGGAACAGATGTGTCCTCAAGAGGCTGAGGAGGAGAATACACACCAGATGTGGTATCAGACAGAGGAGACGTTCCTCCAGAGGTGTTTCAGCTGCTGGTTCATCTCAGCTCTCCAGGTTTTGAGTTCCCAGCCTGGATTTGATCTGGCGTCCAGTTGTAAATCAGTCATGTTCCCCAGGGGCTTAGAGCAGGGTGACTAAACCAGGGGAAACCACGAGAAGCAACCAGTGAAGAGCGGGTGAAAGAACCCTTTCAGATACCAGGTTTCTGAGCAGTCAGCCCTGTCCTGCTGCTTTGATGTGAATCCTGTTGTGGGACCTCCAACTGCTCCCGTTGTGATCTCCCTGCACCCATGTCTGGCAGTGAATTTTGTCATGATGCAATCTAGTGGCTCACAGGAAAAGTTCAGGCAGCCTGAATTCAAAACCATATGGAACAGCAGTAAGAAATACACATCCCCATGGAGCTGCTTGTCTGTGTCCATGCAGCCACCAGTGGTCACAACAGCTCGTTTGCAGTCATATGTTTCCGTAACGGATTGTGATTAAAGCCCTCCCTGTGTTTCCTGCAGTGTGGGTAAGCGGCTGTGATGCCAAACAAGTAGGATCTTGATGAAACAGTGGGATGTGTGGTCTGAATGTGACATAAACACAGAAACAGCTCCCAAAGATGAGGAAAGGGCAAATGGCGTTGAGCGGGCACACAAGAAGAACACCGAAACCAATGACACTTACACAAGACCCATTCCAGTGTAATTAGAGGGTATGGGATGAGTATGGTCACAGCACGAGTCTGGAGAGATACACAGCAGGAAACCAACTGCTAGCAGAAGCGCTTGGACAAACACAGGCTGAGCTGGTAGCTTTGGATGTAAAGAGCAAAGCGAAAGAGACGGTGTCACGGTTTGAAACCCAGAGAAAAGGTGCATTTATAGGCACTAAACAAGAGCCCAGAAGTTTCAGGGTTCTCAGGGAGAAAGGAATCACAGTGAGAACTGGCAGGAGAGCCAGGGCAGTGATCACCTTGTACAGGCACCGGAGGTGAAGCACCTGCAAGGCTTGTCTCAGGAAGAAGAGTTTTGAGCCATTCTGGAAGATGGATCCAGTGCTGGGGAGCAGTTCTGTAATCCATGCTGCTGCGTTCTCTGTTCCAGATGGAAACCTCCCTCTGGTGCACTGAGCTCCCTTCCCATGGTGGTTTCCATACTTAGAGACATTTGTTCATTGCCTTATGTTTGGAGTTCCATTATTACCAACCCCCTTCTGTAAATGTTTAGATACTTTTAAGAAAGCTCCATTTATTAGATGGTTGGTGTTTATAGACAAAAACGCTTTTTAGTTTTACAGGTTTTATTCTTTGGCAAAAAATTTGTTACAGGGTTATAAGAATTACTGTAAATGGAGCTTTCCTGGATTATCTGCTGGTTTCCCACATACTCTCCTTGTTGCATAGAGAAATTCTCTCCTGGCAGTTGGAAGCACTGAAAGTAGGAGACGGCAATAATTTTGTTACCTTCAGTCCTCTCTTCTATAACAAAGAGGTTTTAAAGTGCAGATTTGCTTTGCAATTCTCTAAATTGTATTTAACTCTTGACATTTTCTCTTCTTTTAAAGCTTTTCAGACACCTTGGAGATGGCGGACGATATGGCCATAGATATACCCCATATTTGGTTGTACCTAGCTGAGTTGGTGACCCCCATGTTAAAAGAAGGAGGAATCTCTATGAGAGAACTTATACAGTAAGCAACACTGTTCTGTTCCAGTCTCAGCTGAGCAGAGCTGCCTGTCTGGCTCTGCTGTAGTATTTCCACTGTGTGGTTCCCATCAGTATTTAAAAGAGGAGTGGTGTTGGAGGCTCAGCTTCTCCTGTGAGTTGTGAGAAGGCTTGTACCAGGCTATGGTGGGAAGGGAACTGGCTGCTCTGTCATCACTGTTCAGGGGTGAAAGTTTTATCCATAAATCCACTTCAATCCTGTTTGTTTCAGCTGAGCTAATACCCTGTGGTGTACAGTGGGAGGCATCTGAGAGCTTACCAAGGCTCTAGAATTAGATTTGCAGAGATTGAGGCACTGTGCAGGGGTCTTTATGTCTTGGAGTGTGATAAACACCACCTGGGCATTGCCTTGAGCAGGCATAAAACCTTGTCTGAACAAGTTGTTTCCAGGACCAGAGTTTCTCTATTTTGTACCTGTATTTTGGGGATTAGCTAGAAGCTAATTGAATGGTTCCCTTCCCTGTAAGTGTTAAGAAAGGAATAGCTTTTCCCCAGAAAAGGGTCCTGCTACCTGAATGCAGCATCCCACAGAAATGAGAGGATTGGATGGTCATAAAGTCTTTGCAATCAGCCGTGCTGTGGCAAGTGCTTTGCTGAAATCTATTCTGTCAGTGGTGCCAGATCAAACCCTCTATCCCTAGCAGAAGTCACAGGTGCTTTCCTGCCTCACTGCCCCCCTGCCTTGCATTCCAAATTCACGTTGTAAGGGAAAATCTCTCTTTTTCTTCTTCATCATTCTAGAGAATTTAGCAAACCCTTGCTTCCTGTGGGAAGAGCCGGCGTCTTGCTTGCTGAAATCTTGCACCTTCTATGCAAACAAATGGTAAGTGGCTGGTGTGCTGTTCGTGGGCTGGATGCAGCGACTACATGTTTATGTATGAAGCCAGCATGTTTCCCACATGAAGATCCTGAGGGATGGGCCAGCCCGGACAACCTAGGAAACCTGCCTCTTCATCCCCAGTTTCCAACTGAGCCTGACAAGGTTCCAAAACGCTGAGTTACCTTTTGGTTTGCTCATCACTTTTCCTTTTGCAGGTACCTTTGTACCTGGCTTCTCCCAGAAGCCAGAGTGCTGCAGTAGTGCAGGAGGGACGTTCTCGAGGTATTTCTGGGCTGCCCAGAGGCAGCAAGTGCTGGCAGTCTTGTGGGAGCTGTTCTGGCACACGAGAGAGGTTCTGAGGGTTCAGATGAGCTCCAGGCCGTGTCTCAGACCTCTGGGTGCTCATCCAAACTAACCCCGCACCTCTAAAGAGTCACCCATCACTGGGGGTAGTGACACCTCTTCCCCTTGTAACTCGTAGAGCTCTCGCACGTTTCACAGTTGTGTGTCCAAACGGTTTGGTGGTTTCCCTGTAACTCTTCCTCCATATTTTGTCTTTTCTTGAATTTTTTTTAATCCAGCTAAATACTGCACTTGGGATAGTTTCAACCCTGTAAAATCCCTCACTTGCCTCTTTCTGTTTGTTTTAAAGCCTGCACTCAGATTGGGTTGAACGTTCCAGGAGCATTTCAGTCTAACAGGGCAAATAGTGACTTTTTATTGACTTATTTTAGCCCTGTGCTTGTTTGGGCAGTTGACTACTGTTTAGTTATTTCCTCTGTTCGGTGAAAGAAAAGCTGCTCTGCTCTGGGTGTTGAAGCTTTTTAATCCCATCTCCTCCAGGAAAATACCTGGATTTGGGTGTTTCAATGTAGTATCAGTCATTTCATTCTGATCCTGATGGATGACAGCAAGGACTATGCACAACTAGCTCTAAACAATCTGCTTTGTAAACTTAAAACCATAAAATCATGTTTGACCACTGGACAAGATGTGTGTCCCTGTGGCAGGATTGTGTGTGATTCCTCTTGCATGGAATTTCCAGGGGTTTTCACTTTGTTGCCAGGCATCTTGTTTGGTGGCTGAATGGCTCTTCATTTTCCTCACACAGCTGCACCACTCCAGCTTGTGTAAACTCCCCTGGTTGTCTCTCCAGTCTTTACAGTGAACAAACTGTTTGTGTTGCAGAGCCATAAGAAAGTGGGAGCCTTATGGAGGGAGACTGGCCTCAGTTGGAAGGACTACTTACCCGAAGGGGAGGATGTACATACCTTTCTCATGGAACAAGTGAGTTCAGAGCAAGCATTTGCTTCAGGACGTTGGCACACTGATTTTTGGCTCTGCGTCCGCTTTGTTCATCCTCTTCCATCCCATTCTTCTGTGTGGTTGTTTGGGATGTGGGTGAAGTGTCTCCCACGTGGAGTAGGGTTAGATTGTTCTCTGAAACACCGGGAGGGTGGGCTCGTCCCCTCTGGTCCCAGGAACACATCTCCCATCAGCTGGCTCCTTCCAGCAGGTCTGCTTCTCCAGCTGGGGGAAAAAGCCTAGGAATGAGGTTTACAGCAAGGACAGATGATGTGCAGAAGGGCCAGAATGAATGGTAGTGATTATTCACTCATCCCACCTCGTGTTACAATACCAGAGGGTTTCACAACCAACAGGAGCCAGGACTGAGGGAGGGCACCTTGCTGGAGGTCTCCCTTTGTTGCTCTAAGTGATCCAACACCGTGTTTTAGCATTTAGGAAGTGCTGCACTGTGGGAAATGAAACGAATTACCAAGGCATGGGGCTTGGTGAGGGCACTGTAGCTCCTCTGTTCCACTTTCAAATTAATTGGGGCGTTAGTTGCAGTTTCTCTGAGCGATGCCAGCTCTGGTCATTGCATTCCCAGCTCCCCATCGTCTTAGCTGAGTAACATGCCCTTTATTTCGTGCACACTCATACTGTGTGGGGCTGGAGCTGCCTCGAGGTGTCTGGTTGTCTTTTCTGGATACAAACATGTAGATCCCACATGTTTGTAAATTCTCTGTTCCAAAGGTTAGAAAGCAAGTACATAAATCGTTGTAATGATAACTTAGCAGTTGAAAGATGCCAGAAAGCAGAACGAAGCATAGCTTGCTGCCTCATGTGGTGTAATTTGGCATAGAAAAGTGCATTTAACTAATTTCCATCCTCTCCTCTGATGTTGCAGAAGTTGGACTTCACGGAGTCCGACTGTTCCAGTTCCTCAGAAGCACTTTCAGAGAAAGAACTCTCTGCAGAAGAGCTGAACAAGCAGCTTGAAAAACTCATTGTTGAGGACAAGGCAAATGATGAACAAATCTTTGACTGGGTAGAGGTACAAAGACTTATCTTCTTCCTCCTGCAAACAGTTCGTTAACTGCTTTTTTGTAAATACTGTCTCATCTAAAGGAGCATCTTTGCAGGCTCCTCTCAAGGCACAGGACACTAAGATGAGTGCGTCTGTGCAATCAGCACTGCCAAAGAATTAAAATCTAAAAGATAAATCAGTTCTTTCATGGTAAGATTTAGGAAGAACAAATTTTAGCCACATTAACATACAGCTGTGTAACTGCCTTTTGAATACTTTGACGCCCAATAGGCTGCTGCTGGCTACTTCCTACATTCTCGACCGAGTTCACTGCTATGTTCTTTCTTCCCAACATAAGGGATGAAAGCTTCTCAGTGCAGTTTGCAACATGACCTCTGCAAATGCCCCCCCTGCCATGCTGCAAAAACATCCTGGGCAGTCACTGAGGGCACGTGGACCTTTCCCGAGGGCATTGGACCGGGCTCTGTAAGAGAAAATAATGAAAGGGACGGGGGAAAAAGCCCAGTCAACCCAGTGATCTTTTGCCCTCTCTCTGTGGCTGCATCCCTTAAATCAGGTATTTAATGTAGTGTCTGAGGTTATACCCAACCTGATACATTTAGACCTGCATTCACAGCTAAGTCCTGGCCAGCTTTGTTTCAGTTACTCTTGTTGCTGGAGTGCTGTGTTAGAAATGTCATTTCTCTCCTGCTGTCACCCAGAGCGGCATGAAAGCAGCACTGAAAATCTGGGGACACCCCCTGGGCTCTCTGTAGTCTTGGACAAGTTACATCTCCCTTCTCTGAACTTCTACAAAGCAAACAAAGCTCCACCCAAGAGCATGCTGTAAAATGGGTTGAAAAAGCCTAAAAATCTCATTGAACATGTAGAGGGCATTGTGAGAGCCACACGTGGCAGGTTGGGTTTGTTTCTGTGGCTGTGGGGGCAGTTAGAGGGTGTGCTGACCATTCCTGTGGTGTATGGATGTAGCTGAGCTGGTTTCAAGAAGGGAATGGGAAAGCTGAGGTTTGCAGAGGGGGTGAACTGGATTTCTACTGCAGCAGCTTTTGCTGAGCTTGAACCTGTACCACAAACTCAGCAGTGGAGTTTGAAGGGGTTGCTCTCACCCAGTGGCATGGTTTTAACTGGTCCATTTACTCTTGATTTCAGGCTAATCTAGATGAAAGCCAGATGAGTTCACCTACATTCCTTAGAGCTTTAATGACAGCAGTTTGTAAAGCAGCTATTGTAGGTGAGTAAGTCGCAATGTAAACACTGTACAAATCGAATGTGCAGAGTTATTTTCTACTTTTCAGGTTTCTATCACTTTCCTCTCCCCTAAGGCTGTTTTTTATCACACACTATAGCACCATATTGAGTTGTAGTGCTGCTAGACATTGTTAAGGTAATCAGCATTCCCCCTCCTGTGTCAGGAAGTACATGTGGGTGCCCTGCCATTGCAGATCACCACATGCGAGGTGGCAGCATGGATTGCAGAATTGAAGCCAGTCTGCGTCTCATCTTGGTAATAGGTTTATGTCCAAAGTAGCAATTTTGGGCATAAATTCAAGTAATCCACAGTTTATGTGTTGGCAGTCAGCTGGAAATGGAGGGAAGGATCCCAATTCAAACTGAGCCTCAGCCCCTCTGGGGCTTGAATAAAGCTGCAGCCAGAAACATATGGTCAGTTCACTTTGTTTTCTTTAACTTTACGGTTGGCATCTGGCAAGGCAAAGAATTGTGCTTGTAAAGTGGCTGGTTGTGCTGTGAGCTCCAAGAGTCACACGTCCTGGTGGAGGGAATGGCCTGAACTTCGTCTTCGTTGGGAGGGGAAGGAGCCCAGCTCCTTCCTTCCCCCCAGAACAGAACCTTTCTGGTGCCACCTAGTGTTAATGGCGAAATGACGCAGGGTTTGATTACAGATGTTTAAGGGTTCCCTGACGTGTATCAGGAACATCTGGTTTATGTTGTGACCTTGCCTCTAATTGAACAGGTTTGTTTTCAAAATGTCACTTTATTGTGTTGCATGATTGACTTAGAAGCTGCTGAATCATTTATCCATGTTCCAGATGGACTTTTTAATGCCTATTTTTTATGTATTCCTGATTTCTTATGGCATATGCAGCTTATGGTTCTGTGTCTGCATTGGTATTTTAAGATATAATCTTCTCAAACCTTCTGTATAACTGAAATTTTAGCCCTACCCTTTGTACACACTTTGGACACCCAGTTGCCTGAGGAAACACAACAATTTGTGCTGCAAAGGCTGGAATCCCTCTGCGTGTGGCAGAAGGTTGGTAGGGCTGGGTCGCTGCAGATACTGGTTGAATTTGGGGAACTGGAAGAACCAAGAATTCCAGGAAAAGCCAAAGAAATACTTCTGATGTTCCTCATCTTCCTTTTTGTCTCCACGCTAACCTCTATGTGTGATTTCTGTTTGAATCAGTAAAAGACCTGCCCTTGGTGCCATCTGCCAGAGCTGACCCTGTTTTCCTCTCTTCCCCTCAGCGGAATCTTCTAGCTTCCGTGTGGACACTGCTGTTATCAAACAGAGAGTGCCGATCTTAATCAAGTACCTAGACTCAGACACAGAGAAGGAACTACAAGCACTTTATGCACTACAAGCATCAATAGTAAAACTTGATCAACCTCCTAGTAAGTGTTGCCTTTGTGCTGGGGATTTGCATGCTGACACTGTGAGGGAAAGTTGTTTCTGTGAGAGTGGAGTCGAGGATGTGCTTTTCCTTACCTTTTTGTACACAACAGATGAGGGAAAACATTGTACAGTGGTTTCTGCTTGTCCCCATATGCTTGGCCAGAGGCTAGTTCTTACGTGTTGCTCCTGTCAGCAGCCATGCAGAAGGAAGGGCAAACCCTGTTGATAAAAACAGAGGAAAAACCGAAGAGCAGTTTACAATACCTGGACATGTGGGAGCTCTGAGTGCTGTAATTGCACTTGGGTGACAATGCAGAAACCTCTGCTGGAAAAGAGGTGAGGGAGCTGCCAAAGAAATGAGGATTCCTGGGGAGTCTGCAGCACAAAATCAGAATGTCCAGAACCAGTTGAGTTGATCATCCTTAGCTTTAAGGCGCTGGTTGGTTGTTACCCTGCGAGGGCCAGCAGGAGGAGGACGGGCTGCTGGGGACTCTGCTGCCCCGCCACAGCTGCTTCCCAGCTTTCCCTTTCATAGAATCATGGAATCAACAGGGTTGGAAAAGACCTTCAAGATCAAACCAGTAACCCAGGGCACTGAGGCCTTGTCTACACAGGCTGTGAATACTTGCAGGGATGGTGACTCCAGCACTGCCCTGGGCAGCCTGTTCCAATGCCTGAGCACCCTCTGGGCAAGGAATTGTTCCTCATCTCCATCTAAACCTGCCCTGGGGCAGCTTGAGGTCGTTTCCTCCTGTCCCATCCCTTGTCCCTTGGGAGCAGAGACCAGCCCTCTCCTGGCTCCATCCTTCTGTCAGGCAGTTGGAGAGAGCGATAAGGTCCCCCCTAAGCCTTCTCCAGACTAAACCCCCCAGGTCCCTCAGCCCTTCCTCATCACACTTGTGCTCCAGGTCCTTTCCTGCAGACATGAGTTACCCACCGGAATCAGAGGGACCCATGGTCCCTCTCATTTGTGCATAAGCAGCCAGGAAGCAGTAACTCAGTAACAGACCTTCCCCTTACTCATATCTGCATCTCTCACATAAGAAGTCCCATTAATCCCCTTACCCATAACCCTGCTTTGTGCACTGACAGACGTTCTCTCCCATTACTCCATCTCTGCAGATCTGTTGCGGATGTTTTTCGACTGCCTGTACGATGAGGAGGTAATATCAGAGGACGCCTTCTACAAGTGGGAAAGCAGCAAGGACCCAGCAGAGCAGAACGGGAAAGGAGTAGCGCTGAAATCAGTCACAGCATTCTTCACGTGGCTACGGGAGGCCGAAGAGGAGTCGGAGGATAATTAAAACTTAAAATACAGAGAGAAAACAGAAAAAAAAAAAAAAAAAGAAAGGATTTAAGTATTTTTTTAACAAGTTTCACGTCTTCGCCAATCAGAGTGCAGCAAAGCCAATGCTCACACAGACCCCCCTTCCCCACACACGCACGAGTGGGAGAGGTAAATACATAAACACCAAGGTGACTGTGGAGGAAAAAAGGTACTTGAAAAACAAACACACACAAAAAAACGTAAACTTCAAACCTGAGGGCGGGAGCACTAAACCAAAACACGTGTATTATTTATAGAAAATATTTTCTGTTTTAATCTTTTGGGTTTTTTTTTTCTTTCTTCTTTTCTTTTTAAACAAGGACTTAGAAAAAAAACAACAAAAAAAAAAAAACAACCACGAAGCAAAAGAAATCTGTTGAGCAAAAAAACAAAAGAACAAAAAAAAATAAATAAATAAAAACTTTTAATTTATTATTTTAAGGACTGCAAATGCCAGTGTAATTTTTTAAATTTGCAGTTTCTGTAAACAAATTGTATAATAGAACAAAAGCCAAGAAATAAATTTCCCTCCCCTTCATCTGCACCTCAGTTTTGTTTCCAAGCATGATAAATAGACAAAACTTTCCAGGGGGTTGGGGTGAGCTAGGTGAGGAAGAGACCTGGTTTTATGTTCTTTTCTTTTTTAAATTGCCATCAGATTTTTCTGCCTGCCTCTCAGCTTGCTTCAGAAACTTAAACAAAAAAAAAAGAACCTAGTAATCCAAAAACCTACATAACCTTGGAACGGAAGGAAACGCAATTGAGAAACACGCTGCGGACCAGAGCGCTCCGAAAACAAAGTAACTCATTCGAACCAGTGCTCCCCTGGGGGAAAAAAAAGAGTCCTTAGTGCTACTTTGAGAACCTTTAGAGCAACTTTAAGGCTTGTAAATACATAGAACAAATATTTAAAAAAAGAAAAAAAAAAGAAAAAAAAAGAAATTGACTCGATACTATTTCTTTTCACTTTCAAAATATAAAGAACAAAATAAAGACAAACGTTGCAAGTTTAACAGAAAGTCAAACGACTTCTCCTTTGGCAGCTGCTGAATGTGTGGCACCATTGCTCCCGTGTCGCGGTATAGCTCCTCGGTTCCAAATTGTGTACATATAGTGTGTGTATGTTTGTGTGTCCACCAAAAAGAGGGGTGAGAGCAATTGTTGTCTAAGAAAATAAGGAAAATATAAGGGGGGGTTGCTGCTTGGGAGACCTTTCCTGCAGAGAACTTGCTGGCAGGGCTGCTGCGGGTGCATTTGGTTCCCAGCATGTTGTTGGGAGTCAGCCTCAGGGGTGGTCGGTGCTGATCCCAGCGTGGTTTTCCCAGCCATGTGGCTGTGGTGTCTCTTATGTGACTTGGATCTGTGGCATTGTCCTGGGGACCTGGGATGCTGGTAGCTCCGGAGGTCACGGCCGCTCGAGCAGAGAACCGACAGCCCCTCACCGTGGCTTGCTGCTGCCCTTTGCATCTCCTGGTTGCCTTGCTGTGCCTGAGGAACCCAGAGACCCATAGGGATGAACACAGAAGCCCCCTACAGGAGTCAAGAGGAGGAACAAGCGTTGTGGTGCTCTGCCCGCCCCATGGCAGTGGCTGAAGGCCGAGTGCTGCCCAGGTACAGCTGAGCAGCAGTCGCTTTGCAGTGCAGTTGGAGCTCCAAACTGAGCTGCTGCCGAGGGGGTGAAGTCTCGTGTGTCTTTCCAACAACCGAAAATGACCTGCTGGCTCTCACTGTGAAGAAGCATCTACCGTAACACAAAGGTTGTGAAGCCCCGAAATGTTGTTTGTGAACTGTGGTCCATGGAGCGCGAGTAACCTATGGAGCACTTGCTGGTGGGCTGTGCAGCACTAGGTGGCCACATGATGCTGACCTTCCCCTTCCAGCTGCTAAATCACTTCTTTTTAAAAAAAAATGGAAAAAAGGGAAAAAAAGGTAAAAAAACAGGAAAAACGAGGAAAAAAAAAAGGCTTCAGATACATTAAATACTTTCCTAATCTTACTTTTACATGTAAACAATTGCTGTACTTGCAGGAGGATGTTATTTGGTCACTGAGGGAAAGGGAGGAGGGGGCCTGGTTGTGGCTAGAGGGGAGATGTCCCTGAGACGCTTCCGCTGTTAACCTGCACTCCACACCATGAATTGAGCTAGAGAATCCATGGCCTGAAACACTAGAGCATTGTTTGGGGTTTTTTTTAGTAACAATAAAACACTTTTCTCTGATGTTTTGTTAAAAAAAGAAAAGAATATTCTCACCCTTAATATCTACATATGTTTGTATCTGCTCGTGTGACATCCAGTGACTCTTCACCCACAGTTGGGTGCAGGGGTTTGGTGACAGTGTTCTCAGCGTCTCCAAAGGGATGGTCCACATGGAACCCCCCTTCCCAGCAGGTCTCACACTGTGTGTGTGTGAAACCTCTGCAGAAGGTCATATGGGTGCTGCTCTGGCACAAGTCAGGTTTGAGCCACAACCGGAGCGGGTACACAATGGTTTGTTGCTGTTAAATAGCGAGTTAAATGGCTGTGGGTATGTAAATGAGGCCTAATATTTGCTCCTGATGAATTTCCTCTCTGTGGTTTCTCATTAGGGCCTTGAGCAACCTGCTCTAGTGGAAGGTGCCCCTGCCTGTGGCAGGGGGTTGGAACTGGGTGATCTTAAGCTCCTTTCCAACCCAAACCAGTCTGTGATTCTGTGGGCACTGTCAGACCCTGCCGGGCACATTAGTGAGTGACACCGGAGCTGTGCTGTGCATGGGCTGCGGTTTATTCATCTGTCACCTTGAATCAGAAAGGAAGAAATTGCTGCAGAGCCTTTGAACAGCCACATGAATTGAGGTGTGTCAGGGCAAGGAAGTTTGTTTGGGCAGCTGGAACCTTTTGGCTGAAAGAGTTGGAAAACCACTGGCTGGAGAGAGTGGGAACAGTGAGCCTGTGGGGAGAGGAGAGGTGAGAAAGTCTCCTCTCCTTGTTCTTAATGTTAAATGTTCCAGGAAGGTGAGAACTTTCCCTTTTAGCATCCTGCAAACACCAAGAGACTTTTCAGAGGTTTTAAGGGGTTTTTTCAGCATTACCCAAAGGCTCTTTGCCTTTGGTGGGTTTGCAGTGTGGTGAGCTTTGTGTTTTCTGAAGGATGTCAGTTTAGCTGCGTGTGGAGTGCTGTGAGCAGCTGATGCACGAGAGACCTTGAGCTCTCCAGCTGTGCGTATGCTACCTTGAGGCTCAGCTTCCCACAGATGTCACCCCAAGGAGCAGATCTTACACCAGTCTTGGACTGAAACTGCTTTCTCTGCTCCCCTTGAGCTGTCTGCCATGTGCCACTTACTTACCTGCACCCACATGGAGATGTGGTTGCTTTTCAGCTGCCTTCCAGATCAGCACAGGTTCACAGGCTCTTGTGGCTCCTTAGGACGTGGTCCATAGTCCTGGAAGATCTGTTAAGATATGTGAAACAGAAAAGGGGATCATTAGTTAGATCCCTGTGAGAATGTGGTTTGTGGGAGCCTCATTTTAGGTAAGTGAGGTGAGGTGAGCTGTGGTTACTGTGAATGTTACACCTGAGCAGGAGGACAGCAAATTCCCACTAAGAATACTACAGGTTTTTGAGTGTGTTGGGTTTTTTTTTCCTTCCAGTCTTGGTCCTTTAAGGCATTTAGCAACATCTCCTGGGCAGGCTCGTGAACATGGCAGGGAGTTAATGCAGCTCAGCA